CAACAAACAGAAACAGCATAATTGGTTCCCCCCCCCCCCCCAAAAGGCTTTTATACAAAACAATCCCCTACCCCAATTAGATAAATACAAAAATAAAGAAAACGTGTTTGCGAGCGGACAGTTGTTTTACAGAAGGATTTTGTCCTGAATTCCTAACGCAAAAGGGAAAGGCGACGTTAGTGAAATGGCACGGAGCTCTTTGACAAAGCACCGCCAGGTAAACGGCGAAGGAGGAGGGGGGGGGGGGGGGGGGGGGCGTCGGTGACAAGTCTCCCCTCCTGAGGGTCCCCACGGGCAAATCCTCCTCCAAGGTCCGCCCCGGAGGTGGCAGAACCAGAAAGGCAGGCACACAGACCAACGTAGCTTCAAAAACCTTGGATCCAAGATCAAAAATCCCGCTTATCAAAAATGGAATAGGATTTCAGGACAAAAACAGAGGCAACGATTCACTTTCTTTGCTATTTTACTTTATTGGTGTTAATTTAGCACGTTCCCAGGAGGCAGGCGGCGTCAGAAATCACTTTGTTTTCCTCTCCAGGGCCAGACTATCGTGCAGCTTGGACACCTCCGGCTCGTAGGCCTCCATGACTAACGTCCCGTTGTTATCGAAGAATTTTGCGATGGATTTGGTGAACTCGGCTTCCCTCTGCTGTTTGGTTTTCCCGCTGATGAAAGTCAGCTTCAGGGTGTACTTGTCATCAAACCTGCAGGGAGGGCAGAGAGGTTTCAGAGCGGAATTTAAGTCTGGCTCAGCTGAGACGCCAACGAAAAGCCGAGGAGAAATCCTCGGCTTTGTTAAGGGGAAAGCCCCCAGGAGCGGAGGTCCGGTCCCCCCCCAACATTACCCCACATGGGCACTAACGGCTGCAATACGCAGGCGTCAGTTATGACACAATTAAAGATTATTTTATACTCTTTGTGACGAAACCGCCCTCCCAATGAAAGAGAAGCGAAACGTGAACATTGGCGGCAGATAACCGCTCGGCACCGCTCCCATTTCTAGATCGATTCTGACCGAGCGAAACAGGTCTGTAGGTATAAAACCAAAGGAAAATATTTAGGGTGATGCTACGGAGAGATACGGACACGGTGCACGCGAGCCCGGCGAGCCCGGCCACAGATCGCTGCTACTTCCGAGCAGTAATATCCTGCGGTGAATGTTAAATCACGAGTCGCCTGGGAAGCCGCAAAGATCACGGCACGGTAGCCGATCCTTTGCAGAAAGCTCACGTCCCTGGTGCGCAGGCACCGGTATCGCAGAGACGCCAATATTTTCCCCCATTTTGTTTACGAGTTACCCGAAACGCAGCTTTTCTGCCCCGCCGTGGAGCGCGCGGTAGGTACGGGCGCACGCAGCGCAGGCAAACCGAAGCCGTGCCGGTACCGCGCCGCCGTGCTCCCGCTCGCTAAGCCCGGGCTGCCGGAGCGAAGGATACCGTTTGAGACTGGAGGAGAGCTGCCAAACGTCGTCGGGGTCCATCCCCGCAGGGTCTTTTCTGTGAGCTACGAGGAAAATGCTCTTTTCTTTGTATGAGGTATAGACAGTCAGGATTCCCATCATCACAAAATATGTGCAAAAAAAAGTTAAGGAAACTAAAAAGTTGCAATTAGAGGTAGAAATTAGGCAGAGAAATTGCTCGGATCCCCTCGGACACCGTTGTTTAACCACCTCTCGCGACATTATCATTCCAAACAGGATGCTTGGCTGATGCCTCGTTAGCATGAGAAATTAAATAATTATTGGGACACTTCCTTAAATCTTTGCCGTTGACACGAGAGCATTAATCAATGCCTGGAAGCGGCGGGGAAAGCGACGACTCCCTAACACGCTTTCCCGAAAGGGATTTCTCCAGCCACATAAAACGCTTCGTTCGTTCGTGAAACCGTGAAGCAAAGTGGAAATCACGACGACGAAATACTGTTTTCAATTATTTTGCTAAATTTGTGGAGCGACATCTGTTGGGAGACGGTGGGAAAACGTGAGCCCAAGCGAGCCACAGAATTAATCGCTGCGCATTCCTCCCAAGCACAGATCAAGCAACTAATGTGTCTCGTTTTTGGAATTAAGTAATTTGAAGTGCTGCAAGACGAATTATCTCAACGCTTGCGCTGAAAGCCAACCAGAAGAACCGTAGCCTGGAACAACGAAATGACTTGCCCAAGATCAGGCAGCCGTGAGCAGCACAGAGACTCCCAGGCCGGCAATAAGCTTCCAGGCTACCAGTTCACGCTGCCTCGCTGGTACCATCAAAGCCGCCCTTGAAAGCGGGCCCGTCGGCAGCTCTTGGAAAGCGCCGCTCATCTGTCACGTACATTTAGGCTGCGAAACCTCCGCAGGCGTCTATCTTGCTAGAGGAGCTGCAGGGAAATCGGTGCCACGCTGACCCAAACAGAAACCCCCCCCCCCAACCCCCAGCGTGCTGCAATACTGGAAATCTTACAGTTGACTTCTAAACAGAGTTGACATCTAAACATTCGAACCCTGGTTTGTAGCGCTACCCTCCTAAATGCAGCGTCTGCTCCCCATTGGCGGAGGTGCTGGCAGGAATTACCTCTGTTTTACTCTTCGCTCTTGGTACCTGATCCGTCAGATTAGGAAAGAGCAGATGTCTCTGTGACCAGGCTACAGGTAGAATTAAAAAAACGTAACCAAAACACAAAACCAACCCCCGAAGCTTTCAAGGGCCGATCTTCAGTCTGAGATTAACGCACCTAAGTGGGGGAGACTCCACAGCGGTCGGTGTCTGAGATCTGGGAAATCACCTCAACGCAGTCGGGAGCCTGGAGAGCGGATCAGCTGCCCAGGCGGCTGCTGACTCCTCCGACGTGAGCCGAATTGCTGCTCCAGGCTTCCCCGCCGCTGCAGGGGAAGGCTGGACCCACAGATCACCCAAATTTAGGTGTGTCACAGCCAGCCAGGCAGGAATTTTGCCATCACATGAAAACTATTTGATTATCAGCTGATCTCCACACCAGGGGCAGTAAAATTCCCACGGGCCCGAAAACGGGAATACAGAGAAGGGTTTTCTTGTGCTTCACGGGGAAAATAAAACCCTTTTGGTATAAATGAGACAACATCTGTAAAGGATATGATACAACACAAAAGGCAAGAACGGGTTTGGATTCAGGAAAAGGGTGCAGGTAATCCCAAATCAAAGCTACAATCGCGAAGAGGCAAGAGATTGTGCAGATGATGAGGCGGCCGTCGATCAAACGGAAATTTTCCACGTACTTGTATTTCTCCAGGAGAACCTGCGGGAGAAACACGCAGCCGAGTTTATTTTGTGCTTTTCACAAATTTGACAAACTGCTTCTGGAAAGGATTTAGGTAAAACAATCTCAATTATATGGGTAAACTGAGCAGAAACTTTATGCGGAATTCATGTCTGCACCGGACATCGTAGTAATTGCTGATACTCTAAGCACAAACACTGCTTTAGCCATGGGAATCACAAGAGACGCTACGGAACCAGCACACATACGGGCGCTTCACGATCAAACCAAAACGGTTTACAGAGTTTTTAAACTAAACGTAGAAACTTAAGAAAACAGAGTGTTTCCCAAGAGGGAGAAATCAGCAGTCGCAGAACGTACTTTTTTGGCAGAATCGTCCAAAGAATTTTTCACAGCTGAACCGTCCCATTTGTCAATTTTTACCGGCTTGTCGTCGATCTTCCACTGCAACGGAAACCAAACGGAGTTAAGAGAATTTGGCACGGGTTAGCCTTTCGTTTTAATACGCCTGTTCCTGTCGCGAGCACAAAGATAGGAGGCAACCCAGAAAATACCTACCTGTTTGGGAAAACCCGACCAGAGGCGGAGGGAATCCGGGGCCTGTCACACAGCTGTATCGCACCAAAAGTCACCTCAGCACCAACGTACCCACTACCCTTGCAGATTTGAGCTTGGACATCTTGTCGTGGGTACCGAAGGTATTTGAAGTGACTTTTTACATCAGTTGTATTCTAATTTTGATTCTGCGTTCGCTGCTCCCGCTGCCATCCACAGAAAGTGTCACTTATGGCTTAATTCTTGCCTTTGAAGGTATTCACGCTTTTCAGCCAAGCTGGTACAAACAGACTCTTTGGGGGTTGATGAGAGGAGGAAAATTTCAAGGCACCCTTAACAATCCGGGTACAAGGGGAGAATATAAAGGCACGAACAAGAAATGAAGTTTCAGTCAGACCATCCCCCAGAACAAAACCAAAAGCCTCCGTCACTCTTCAATTCAGGTTTTCCTCATAATCTGTTCCGTCATCAGTAATGAATCTCAGATACAACGGCTCAGCTTTTCAAAGGGGTCAGTTTTCCTCTGAACTATATTATTTTTTGGTAACGTTATTCCTTTTAGCCACAGTCAGACACGTGAGCTTGAGCCCTGTGTATTTCAAGTTGTCAATTATTTCAAACAGTTGAGCGACTTGAGCTCAAATTTTAGCTGCCATTAGAAGCAATCCCCAACTTCACTCCTGTTATTTCCTGCTCTCGAAGCTCACAAGTTGGATCTATTAACTACCTGTCAGAAGAGCTCATTTCCCTTCTCTGGCAGGAACGAAACCATTTTAAAGTAAGATGTAAAACCTGATCTACTTCCCCTACACTCGCACAGGGAAAAGCCTGATTATCCTTCAGGCTCTGCAGGTATGAATTATTAGGTGCACTATTGAATTATTTGAATTATTCGCACAGGGAAAAGCCTGATTATCCTTCAGGCTCTGCAGGTATGAATTATTAGGTGCACTATTGAATTATTATTGAATTATTATGAATTATTAGGCGTCACTGTGCGTACACATGCAGTAGCTGGTTTATGAGGGACAAAAGAAACATCCAGAAGCATTTAAAAGTCCCGGACAACCGGGAAAGAGCTCTCACGTCGGTGTAAGTTACAAAATACTTTAGGTGGCTACTTTTTCGTAGCCACCAGTTTTTCCTAAGGTTAATTAGCACACACGACGACTGAAAGCCAAACCCTTCCCCATGAAAGAATACAGAACAATTCTTTCAAAGATTTATTTTTCCTTATAAAAGCATCTACAACAGTTTTATTTCTTGCCCTTTGGAATTCCCAAAGATTAAAGTATCAAGAGCTAGACTAGGGAGAGGAAAAAAATACCTTTTTTCCTAATTAGTGAATTGGAAGTCAGAAGTCTGTAGTAACAGAAGTCAGTAGTAACACCAACACCCAATCCCTCTGTCCTCATCTCACAGATACATCAAAAAAGCTTTGAGGAAACCCATTCAGACTTGACCTCACCGCTCCCAGGTGCGGCCTCCATTTCTCGCGAGGGAGAGGAAGGAAAGCCAGCGAGCCTGCCGAGATGGAAATGTACTCTGCTTAGCAGAACCCGAAACCAGAGTACTTTCCTGAAATAGCACCAGCTACTTCTGCTACAGACCGATTCTTGTAGGATGCAGAAAAGTCCTGTTATTTTAAAGACAAAAATACTGACTAGTAAGACGTGTGCAAGACGCAGCACAGCTGGATTCGCTACTGGGTACGCCAATAACTGAACCCTGAACTCAAATGTGACTGTGGGGAAATATCCTGTCCTTTATTGTACTCGTACAGCTCGAGTGAAGGCAAGCCTTACCCGCGAGGGAAGGCGTCATTCAGCCTGCAGAGTTTAGTTTTGTTACTGACAGAAATCCCTGAAAAGGCTCAGTCTTTATAGCCGGCCAACCCTTCCCCCTGCTGCTTTTTACAAATAATAAAGAACAAAATGAATGAGAAGTTTTTAACGGCACAAGGAACCTCAGCAGGCCACTTGAAGCCTTCCTTCAGACCAGATCTGCCTTTAAGTACAGTTGTGATTTATTTTTTTTTTCCAAAGGCCACTAAAGGAATCATTTTGAAGAAGTAAAAAATACATCTGTGCAAATATTTTGCCTAACAGTTTTCCACATTTCTAGGGCTAAAACAAGACAATCCTTAGTATAAAATATGGCAGCGTTCTCCAGCTTGTTCCTAAGTGAGAGCAAGAATCCAGAGATACTTGAGAAGGTATCGCTCAAGTGATATTTTTGTGATATGTTTTACGATTAAATATTTGATATTGGAATCTTTGCTTTTGGCAACAGCATGGTTTACCTGGTATTAAAGCACAATGCATCTATCCCATCACCAACGCTCAAGTTTTTAATCAATCTTATTATGTCTGGTTTGGCTTCCTAAAGGCCGTGAGGATGGAATCAAGGCTTACGCTAAAATTTCTCCTCTCCTCCCAAATACAACCAACAGCTTTCTAGATATACTTGAAGACAGAATAGCTGGAAAACACCAATGAGAAAAGCTCAGGAATCAAGAAATAAATGAAAATAAAGCCCAAGGCCTTTTTTAAAAACCTCAGGATTTTAAAGCTATTTTATAGGCACTCTGGAAACCAGCCCTGGAGGCACAGGACCGCTAACACTTCACTTGCAGAAAGGACTTGCATGGAGGGGAATATCTGTATGTAAAATGGGTCGAGGCACTGCCATAATAACGTATATCCAGGAAGCCCGTCACAGAGTAAGAGCTGGATTCTTGCTTCTTGCTCTCTGTCCCGAACCACCTGACACTGGAATTGCCAGATGACATCAGTGATATTTCACTGATACCGATCTCTTAACAGAGAACCAGCACTTTCAGGGGTAGATGTGAAGCCCACATGACATATTTTTTCAAATAAAGCTGTTACTGGAGGGAAGAAAAAAAAAAAATCTAATCTTAGACTGTCTAAAGCAACGAGCTGAACCAGCAGTTCTTCAGTTCTTGTTCAGGCTTCCCTGCGACTGAGGCTGTTCTGCTTCAAGACAGTAACAGCTTGATAATGCCAGTACAGTTCATGCCAGAAGGGACCTCGTAACAGGGACACATCTGCGGTTTGGGACTTCAGCCAGGGAGAAGCTTTAGCCCTCCCTTTACCTTGGTCTTGATGTTCCCACGAGGTTACTCCTCCTAACACGGTACAGCACCGCAGGGCTGCTGCTGCTTCTCTTAATTCTTCCAGGCTGATCTGCAGGACCAAAGAGCTAGGGAGAGGCTGGGACGCTGCGCTGCGCTGGCACCTGCAGTGCCAGTGCTGTGGAAGAGGAGCAGAAGGAGGTGCTCAAAGGAAACGATCAACATCCACGCTACCTCTGTGTCCAGATGTGCACAGAAACGTATGCACATCTGTACACTGAGGTCTATATACCAGTGCAACCCTGGGCAAAACCTTCGACTGATGGCTATCCCCACGTTCAGCTTGGAAGAGAGCTGGAGATTCGGCCCCTACCACCAAGCGCTCACCCTCAAACAGGGGGGAAAGCCTCCACCCCTTCTCGGCTCTGCAAAACAGCCCTGCCTTGCCTGCGCAGGTTGGGGAGGGAAGGTGAAGCTGCACGGGTGTCCTGTGGAGCCTGGCAGATGCAAACATGCCTGCTCCTCCAGCTAGTGGATGGTATTTTTCAACCAGTTACTTATTTTGAGCACTTCGAGTACGAGCTCCAAAGGCTTCAAAAGAGAAGCTCAGATTTGGTTCCAGTCTGACGGAGGAAAAGAAAAACCCAACCACTTCAAAACAGTTTTTTAGTTTGCGTGTGATTTGATTCCTTCATTTTAAAAACCAAGTGAAAGGTTATCATACTTGTCCTGAACACATCCTAACTATGAATGGGAAGCAAATACGGTGTTCTACAGCCAGGCACAGCTAGGAAGTGGATTTGGTACCTGAAAGCGTACCCGTGTAAGAACAAGGCTTCAGAGCAAAGGCTGAAATATAGCCAGTGGTTACCTTACTTAAAAACAAAGAATAAAATCAGAAACGCAATTTCAGAAAGCCGCAAAACCGATCTGACACTAGAAGCACGCAAGGGCCCCAGCTGTTCACACCGGAGTAAAGACGCTGCCTGCAGCTGGATTGCAGCAGGGGAGCATTCTGCTGTTAGCTCCAAAAAATGGGACAGCAAAGCAAGTGCTTGCTTTCACAGCAGACACCGCAGGATCTGAGCGCTCGCAGGGCTCGTTTGCCAAGCTATCACCTTCATTTAAATCCCCTCACAAAGCTCCCTCATAAGCAGGAGGCACGGAAAAATCCTACGCGAGAAATTTCAAGATGTTCGCATCTCAGAAGAAAGACACGGCACAAACTTAACTTCCCCCCCCCCCTTGCCTTATTCCCTCTGCTGCTACTGTCAGCCTCATTTACATCATGTCCAATTTTAGCCTGCAACATCTTCTGGGTAGCTAGCTTGTCTCTTCAAATATTGCTCTGAAGTTTATGGCGTACTTTGGGTATTACAAACATAAATAATCAAGTCATACAGTATTTATTGCTACTGCAAGAGGAGCACCAGTTGTAGACTACATAAACTCTTCAAGGGGAGTAATGTTTCTGCATCTAATTTGTGTTTTCTTTTACAGGGATGAAGAGAAAGTAACCTCCCCTTCCTAAATCAGAAACTCTTCAAACCGGGACACGCAACGCTGCAGCCGAGGGAGGTTGGAAGAGCCTCAGCAGATGATGCACATCGACTCCCTCAAGGCACCCAGCTAACACTGCAGCTGATTGCCTCTTCCTGCAGGTAGGGCTGCAGCCCACAGAGCAGCGAGTCCCAGACCGCAGGTCTCCACCCCCCCAACACAAATTCTGAAATAACGGCGACGCTGCACACCACGAGCCTGGCAGAAGCAGGATTTGCAAGTGGCAGACTCCAGGGACAGCTCACTGCACATCAGTTCCCTCCTCTTCCTCTTGAAGGAAGAGTTGTAGCAAACTCCGGCGAGTCAGCATGGCCGTTCTCAGCTCTGACTAGCTCAGCCTCTGCCTTGGAGGAAGGAATTCTGGACCTCACTCTCCCCAAAATACCCGTGCTGCCCGACTGTACTCAGAGTCAATGTCCCCTGGTCCCAGAGAGTTCCTTCTGGGGCACAGGAGCTGAAGGCAGTTGTGGCAGCTGGTATTCAGGAAGTGGTTTTAGTCCTGGAGCTTGCAAAACCTTAGAAGGTTTTGCTCTAGTAGGGGCAGTGTGGTTAATAACTTAGTTTTGTGCTAAGTGGGTGAAATCTCTAGGTCTTCAAAAGGACTGTAGCCGCTGCTGCACGCCATTTTGAAGTCAGTGAGTGTGCACTCTTAGGTGGTCCTGGTTAAGTAGGGAGAGGTCAGGAGGAGCTACCTGATTTTCACAAACACTGAAAGAACTTGAGAAAGACAAAAAAATGGGATAGTTAACACCCCAATCTCCCTAAACTCACCCTGATTTAGCTTACTAGCTAAGTATGAAAAGATACGCTAAACATGCAACCTGTCCTAAGACTTTAAAGCCTCGGTGATAACCCATTATTTTTCTCTTTGAGAAATATTTTAGGAAATTATGGAGCTAAGACCACAGTTCTCCAGATGATACCTCAGCAATATATAGACCGGTTCGCAGGAATGACCAGATTTCATTTAAGTCATCCAGGGGGAGGAAATGAAGGCACACAGATCAGCATGGGGGAGAGAGGGAAAAGAAGATAGAACATCAAGTGTGTGTATGCTGAAACTATTCAACGGTTTCTCGCTAAAGGATTCAGCTCCCGCACCAACAGCGTTATTTCCCTTACCAACAACTCCTCTTCCTTCCGAAATAACTACACCTCAGCATCCACAGAACGTGTCAGGAGGAGCAGGAACGCCTCGAGAGCATACTTTCCACAGTTCCTGGAGTTTAACCACAAAGCGCTGTCATTTCAAAACCGAAAGCCGAGCACGTTTGCAGAAGATATCCAGGAATATTTCATTGGCACACCTTTCCCTAAAAGCATTCGCTCAACAACTTAATCCACCGTTCTGAAGAAAAAACACCAAATTCTCAGGGATAGTAAGGATATCATCATCTCAGACAGATGCAAGAAAACTATACTCTTTAGAAATTATGAATATACATATTATCAATGAAAATAAAAGTGTTTTCAATTGCAGTCATCCATATTGTCCTGGTTTTGGCTGGGATAGTTAATTTTCTTCCTAGTAGCTGGTACAGTGCTGTGGTTTGGATTTAGGGTGAGAACAATGTTGATAACACACCAATGTTTTAGTTGTTGCTGAGCAGTGCTTACACTAGTCAAGGACTTTTCAGCTTCCCACGCTCTACCGACTGAGAAGGCTGGAGGTGCACAAGAAGCTGGGAGGGGGCACAG